AGAGAGAGAGAGACATCGAAAGACAAAGACAGCGAGAGAGAGACAGAGAGAGTGAGAGACAGAGAGAGAGAGACATCGAAAGACAAAGACAGCGAGAGAGAGACAGAGAGAGAGAGAGACAGAGAGAGAGAGAGACAGAGAGAGAGAGAGACAGAAAGACAAAGACAGTGAGAGAGACAGAGCGAGACACAGAGAGAGAGAGAGAGAGAGAGAGAGAGGGAGAGAGGGGTGTCGCCTGGGCAATCCATCAGCCCTCAGGTGGGGAGTCAACAGCCCCCAGGTCTGGAGGTGGCTGATGAGGAAGAGGAGGAATTAGCTGGGTCCAGTGCCTGACGCGCAGATGCACAGAAGGCAGAGGAGAGGAGAGCAGTGGAAATCTATGGGCCGGTCCTTGGGACGGAAGAGCCACCGCTGCTACCCTAGCTCTGGGGATAAAAGGCAGGGGGCAGAGATGAAGAGGCGTGGCAGACAAGTATTCCTCCCCCTGCCGGTGGGGCTCCTAATAATCATTGCTTCAACTACAGAGGGTTTGTCATGTTTGAGGAGCTGGGCCGGAACACCAAGGTTGGACACACCCCTGTCTTACAGAATTGATTTTAACTCTTCACATGCTTTGTTCTTAGCCTCCTTGGCTCCCCCCACACCCCAAAATATGTGTCCTTATGTCTTGCAACATGAATTGGCTGCAAGGCCCGGAATGGGGGTACCCTACGCAGCAGACTAACAAGAATGGAAGGGACCTTGGACCTAGCCCAACCTTGGACCTCAGGAGGCCCTGCCCCATTTCAGACAAATCCAATCTCTTCTTAAAACCTCCCAGCGTTGGGAGCACTCACAACTTCTGGAGGCAGGCCGTTCCGCCGATTCATTGTCCTCGGCCCTCTTTCTAGAGCCTCAACATCTTTTGTATACCTCCCAAAGATGCTTCAGAGATCTGAACAAAGTCCTGAAATCAAAGGTTTGATTCTCTCAACTGGCTCTTAGCCAATTCCCCATGGCTGGCTGGCTGGCTGGAGGGAGGGAGGGAGGGTGAGAATTCTGGGCATTGGAAGTCCACCTGTCTAAAAGCAGTTAAGTTTTGAGAAACGCTGATTTAGAGCTTCTGCTCCTTGTGCCCTTAATCTGGCTTTCACTTTCGTTTTAGTTTAATTTAATTATTGCACCTCGTACAATGAAATTAAATACCATCTTCAGTGTACGTTATGACTATGAAAATAAACACAAACACCTTTGCTTTCTATACCACTGAATTGAAAACCCCCCTGACAGTGCATTAATATTGCCCTATAAAGCAGGATTCAATGTAATTGCTAGATAGAAGCTGTTTTTCAGCCTCGTGGTCCTTGTTTTTATTATTGTCCTGTACCGTCTTCCCGATGGTAACCGTTCAAAAAGTAGCTCATTTTCCCAAAGGCTCAACCCCTGGGGATTATGGGAAGTCTAGCCTGCTTGGATGGGTGTAAGGAAAACAACCTTGGGAGAAGGAGGTGAACCAGAGAGCTGAGGTTACGCAGGGCGGGGGGAGGGCCAGACCGAGAGAGAAGCCATTACCGTCGCGTAGGCAGCCTATCCTGTACATCATCGGCATTTTGATGACGAAGGCGAAGAGGTCGTCGATGAAGGTGTTGAGGGCCTTGTAGGTGAGCATCCTCCACGGCAGGTGAGCCACCGACTTCAGCTTGTAGTTGATGAAGAGCTGAGGCGTCATGGTGATGAAGCCTGGAAGGCGAGAGGGAGGGAACAGCGTCCCCGACTTAACGACCACAATGGAGTCCCACAGCATTTCTCTTGGCGAGCGAACTCCCTGGAGGAGGGAGTTTGGCCCCCGCTGTACAGCCCATCCTGCTGCTGTCGTTAAGCGAATCGCGGCAGGGGTCGCGTGTGAGGGACAAGATTTGTGGAGCGAATCCGGCCGCCCCAGGGACTCGGCTCCTCAGAAGGTCGCAAAACCGGGGACACTGCAACCGTCATAAATGTGAGCCAGTTGCCGAGCGTCTGAATTTTGGTCAGGGGGCTGTGGGGAGATGCGGCAATGGTCGTTAAGTGTGAAAAATGGACATAAGTCACCTTTTTTTTTTTTTAAGGGCTGCTGTAACCCTTGAACGTTCCCTAAACGAACTGGGCACTGTGCAGTGGTTAGAAGTTGAGGACTACCTGCACTGTAAAACTGGAGGGGGGGAAATGCCACTGAATTGACTGGAGACGGAAAAGGATTGTTTTATCTAAAGAGCCACGATGGCGCACTGGTTATAACGCACCCCTGCAGGCTGACTAAGCCCAATGCCAGCAGTTCGATCCTGACCAGCTCAAGGTTGACTCAGCCTTCCGTGCTTCTGAGGTGGGTAAAATGAGAACCCAGATTGTTGGGGGCAAAGAGGCTGACTCTGTAAACTGCTTAGAAAGAGCTGGAAAGCACTGAGAAGCGGTATATAAGTCTAAATGCTGTCGTTATCCTCCTCCCTCCCTCCCCTCTTCCTTCCAAGGTCAGTAGAATGAGGACCCAGATTGTTGAGGGCAAGAGGCTGACTCTGTAAGCCACTTAGAGAGGAAGGTAAAACGGTATATAACTGTACGTGCTATTGCTCTCCTTCCTTCCTTCCTTCCTTCCTTCCTTCCTTCCTTCCTTCCTTCCTTCCTTCCTTCCTTCC